TTAGGGATTCACGAGTGATAGCTAGCAAGGAGTGAAACAATATCTCCTAGAAGAGAGAAGGCCTCAGCACGGACCCCCCACTGCGCAGCTTAGTAGTCGAAATGTAGTGACATCTTTCTTATTTGCCTCCACTGCGCAGTTTCGTTACGTCGGAGTACTGAATTGATTCGTGCTGAGGCATTTTCTCATCTAGGAGGTGTTGGGTGGAGCCCTCGCGAACGTAAATGAATGATCCTTAAAGTTAACGACATCTTTTTAACTCGCGTTTTCCATCGAAGCATTTATTACAAAACAAAGACTTTAAATTGTTTATAATAAAATCCTTTTTTTCGCGTTTGATAAAAAATTCAAATAAATTATTCCGTTTAAAATACCAAAATACCTTCAGAGACAAAATTTCGAAATTTTCAATTTAGAAATGTTTTAATTAGATTTATGTGTATTGCACACTATAAGACTGTATAATACAAAAAAATATGAAATAAAATTTAAATTTTTTTTTTATAGAAAACTGGTTGAAAAAGAAGCAAAATTAATTTTTTTCCAAAATTTCATAAGTTTGTTGAAATTTATTATTTTTTCATTAATCTTGTTTTATAATTCTCATAAAAAACTCAATTTAGGAAATAGATTAAGCATTAAATTAAATATTAATACTTCTATATTTTACTGCAAATATTGAAACTAAATTGCGATAAATTATTTTGGTTTTAGCTGCAAAATATAAAATAAATAGTTTCCTCAACCAATCCGTAGTTTATTCCATTGACTTAAATATAGAAAGCAATCATGCGAAATTTCAAGTAATTTGAACTAAAATATTTTAAGATAAAGAATGAAGGAAATAAACCGAGTTCGATATTTGTTTCGAGAAAAAGGTAAAAAAAGACACAATTATCAATTTAATAGCCAATATATATGGTTTTTTAAATTATCATTACTTATTCTCTATTTAACGTAAAAACAAAACTCAAACGGTTTTTTAAAAAGAAAAGTCCATTGTTTAATTTTATGTAAAAACAGAAAAATGATAGTTTGGTTAAAATTGGCTTGAAAAAGGTAATTAGGTACCTTAATTACTAATTTTTTTCTCTCTTAAATCTATGAATATTTTTTTTTATAATTCAAATAAAATATTATGAAATCAATCCGTATAACACCTCTTCATAGAGCATGGATTTCTAACTTTTCCTATAGACCAGGGGTTTCCAACTTACATGAGGCCGGGGACCGCAATTAAAAACACGAGTCAAATGGCGGGCCGCAACTTAAGAAGTAGATTTTTAAAAATATTTAATTGCATATTAAAAAAATCTGGCCACAAAATTTACAAATGTAAATAATTTTGTCCAAAATGAGTGGTTTCAAGAAATTAAATCGGAGAATATCTTCGGGAAAAATTCTTAATCGCGCATGTTAAATTATATTCACAAAATACGAAAAAACGAAATAAAAGACAGCAACATACACAATTATTTTCGTATTTGAATAAATATTTTCTTGAATGCAAAACCTAAGAAAAAAATTTTTTTTCTTGCACGGTTGGTATGTTAAATTTCACATAAACGAAGAAATTAGGGTTTTTTTTAACGAAAGAAAAGTATTTTAAACCCATATAGAGTTTTACGAAAATTGTACGCAAAAAAAATTACAACTAATATATTTTAGTTCGCGGTCCGGATGAGGCCGGCGGGCCGCCAGTTGGAAACCACTACTATAGACCAGGGGTTTCCAACTTATATGGAGCCTTGGGCCACAATCAAAAACACAAATCAAGAGACGGGCCGCAACTTTATCAGAATTTTATGTGGGACTCTTTTATGTTTGAAGGAACGTTAAATATTACTGTCAGATTTTTACCAAGTTGTGCAAAACAAAAGTATTGAATTACAAATTAAAATAAGAAGTAGATTTTTAAAAATATTTAATTGTTATTAATAATATTTAAAAAAATATTAAGTAAAAAATAAAAATTCGGGCTACAATAACTTTAATGCGCACCTATGTATTAAACGATTAATGTGCTACAGATATCTAATTAACTTTAGAAAGGTTGGTATTAAAACTTGCATAGTAGCACACAAAATGTTCAATGAGAAAATTGAGGTTTATCTGCTGCAACCAAAAGTGAATAGATAATTACATTTTAAATTTAAAATTTACAAATGTGTGTGTAAATATTTTCGTCCAAAATGAGTGGTTTCAAAAAGTTAAATCGGAGAATTTCTTCGAGAAAATTTCTGATACACACATGCTAAATTATATTCACAAAATACAAAAAAAATGAAATAAAAAAGAGCAACATACACGATTATTTTTGTATTTGAATAAATATTTTCTTGGATGCAAAACCTGAGAAATAACTTTATTTTGCACCGTTGGTATGTTAAATTTCACAGAAACGAAGAAATTAGGTTTTTATTAACGACAAAAGTATTTCAAATCCATATAGATTTTTTACGAAAATTGTCCTAAAAAAAATGACAACTAATATATTTTAGTTCGCGGGTCACAAAAAAATTCTTCGTGGGCCGGATGCGACCCGCCAGTTGGAAACCCCTGCTATAGACCATTAAAAATTTTCCCCTCCTATTATTAGCTACATATTCTTAATTTTAGAGAATAAAAGTTGGGAGGTATGGATATAAGTCGAAATGAAATTGATAAGACCGTTCTCCAAAAACTGTGAATAAATTTAGTTTAGCTTTATTTCAATAGCGAATGATAATAACCACGTTAGCAGGACTGCCAGCTTTCTACGCTTTGCGGAAAAATTTCGTTTGTGGGTGCAAATTTTATGTTTGAATGTATGATTCTTTTTGATGTATAATGTTTCTTTGTTTAGTAATTTTGACTTAAAATACAATAATTTTCCACGCTAGCTACGGCATCTGAATGATTCAAAAATTCACATAGAATACTACTTTGTTCCAGTTCCTTGGAAATGTTGTGAGGCTTTTTTAAAAATGTTGGCATAATTATCCAAAATTCTGAAAGCTTTAGCTTTTTTTATTGTCTGTAATTCAATAAAATGTTTTGCAAACAGAATAGTCAGCTCTAGTGCGACGTAAATTAACAACAACGAACAGAATAATAGTTGGCTGCCTTGAGATATTTTTCTGACATTCAAACCATAAGCGTTTTGGTGTTCAAAATTGTTGAATGTGTTACTTGTTCTAGTTGTCAAAAAGTATATTAATTTTACTTTCTGAAATTTTTGTTATTAATTATTTAAGTTAGTTTTAATTTTTGTCGTTCTCATTTTTTTAGTTGAGAATAAAGCAATTTTTTTTTTTGAAATATTTTTTCCAATGTTAGAAATTTTCTTCTCCTCTTGATTTAATTTTAAAATAACCAAGGAACGCTACTTCAATCAAAAAGCCCTCAATGAATTCTTTACCTAACTCAGGAGTTTCCTTGTCTTTTGGCACTGAGTACAGAACTACAAGGTTACGAAAGATTCACAATGGGGATCAAATTCTACTTTTTTTTTATTAATAAAATAATTTAAAGTAAAAATAAGTTCAAGATCTGAGTGCAAAACAGTGACCACGAAGAAAAATCCAAATAAAAACAGCAAGGGCGTCGTTTGTGTGAGGGGACGATGCGTATATGCCCCCCCCCTAAATAATTAGAACTCTCTAAAAATTCCTCTCACTATTTCAGACAAATAAAAATTTTTTTTATATGAATCATCCAGTGGCGTACGCAGAATTTTTTCAAGGGGGTGTTCATAATTTTCTGAAGCTACTAAAAGAAATTCAAGTATGTAATAAAGCACTATTATTTCCCTAATTTAGACAGCTAGACAGTTTTGACATTTTATTTAGACAACATTGTTTAGTTAAATTTTAATTTGATTTTTTAAGTTTAAGAACATAATGTAATATCTTCTCGCATGTAATATCTTCTGAAAAAAATCCAATGTCATATGGGTGGGAAGTAACACTTTGAGGGCCACTTTCACATTCATCAGATTTTGTTACGCTCGAAACGTTTTCTTCAACGGAAGTATCACATTTCTGTACAACAGAAAAACTTACATTGTACTCCGTTCCCCATTTTATATAATTTTTCACCCCATCTCCAAAATTCTCGAATTGTCTCAAAGATGACAGAACGTCTAAGATTCCAGAATCATCGCGTAAAGACCTCGCGAATGACAGCCAGTCTCGAAAACTATCGCGACTGGCAGAACAGAAAGGAACCAGTCCATAACAGTATTACTTGAATTTGGTTTCAAAAGTACAACCCTATTATATTAAATGTTTTTTTCAATATTCTGAGAAATACCGTGAGAAAAAATGGTAGGCATAAGGCAAATAAAAATATATAGTCTTAAAAAATAATACCCGCATAATTTCTACTAAAATTTTTATTTTTGCCATTTTGTCTGAGCTCAAGGGGGGTGTTCAAACCCCTAAACCCCTCCCTTGCGTACTCCACTGGAATCATCATTGATTTAAATTCATTTAATAATTTAAAGCAAGGAAGGAATAAAAATGATTAATTATTTACCAGATATTAAGCAGTTTTAAGAATTTTTTCTTGTGTGTGAAATTTAAAGAGCTACTGTGACAGTTCATTTTAATTTCGTCCCCCTCAAAAACTGAACCCCAGCTAAGCCCCTGGAAAAGAGATTTGATAATTTCAATAAATATTGCATAGAATAAAATAAGCAGACAAAATTATTTAGCGAATAATTTTTGTGCGACGCATTTTAATTTTAAACTCGTGCCTCTGCAAAAAAATAAACTTTTCAGGATGACACGGGAAAAAGGGTTCTCTATATTGAAAGGGTTAACTGAGGGGCACTTTTCAAGGAATAAAAAAAAAATGAAAATAAAATTCCCGAAACTTATGTAAAAAGTATACGGAACATGTCAACGGCTTTTTTTTTCTTCTACTTTTTCCGACTCTTCGCCCACCCCCAAAAGAGGGGGTATAGCTTTTCCTATCCCAGGATACTCCGCGACGATGTAAGGGGGAGAGAAAATGAACAAAAAATATGTTTTCTGATTCCTCTCTTTTTTTTCCGAAGTTGAGAGGAGCAGCAGGAGCAGGCAGAGCTGGTTCAAGATGGCGGCTAGCGGCTTGGTCGATATGACCGATGCCGCTGCAATTGAAAAAGCAATAAATTTGAAAGTTCCCCTTGTGCGATTGATACCGATGAAGGCGATTTTTCCTCAAACTCTGGAGAAGAACGGTGTGAGAAATGGATCAGATATTGCGAAGTGCTTAGAAAAATTAAATAGCCTAATCCCTCCAAAAGACAAGACCAATACACTAGTAAAAACAAACTCTCACGCTAAAAATAATGGATATTTTGGAAGAGAATCTTTCAATAGTCGGCTCGGACGATCGCCAAGCACCGACAGGTAAGTGAAAACTATTATAAATAAGTGATATATCTTTTATAATTACGTTTAATTTCCATTGTCAATAAAAAGCTAACCCCCTAGTGGGGTGTACCATTGGAACAGTCCCTGTTTAATAATATGTTTGGGACATATGGGGGAATGAAATACAATAACATAGAATCGAATGATTATGTTTTATCTAATTTAAAACTCCTCTTAATGATTTTATTTGCTTTTAGTAATAAATAATGTTATTATTAAGTTAGTTTTATAATTATTAAGTTTTTATTTATACTTCAATGTTGCGATCTGGTATCTTTTTAATTTGTATAATTTTGTTACAAACAAATGGTTTTGTATTTTGGGATTAAGAATGATTATAATGTGTACTTTTCTTGTGAAAATTATAAACAATATGGTAGATATTTTTCAGTTTCATTTAATTATCTCTCGACTTGATCTAAAGGGGTGAAATAATAGTTGAAAAATCACTCGATTAATAATAAACAACAGATCAGATGTATACTTATTAATAAAAATGAAATCTGTTTGTTGCAATAATTTGCTAGCCGTCTGGAGTGGCGCCAAGATTTCCCTAACGGAGGATTTGATAGCCCCCCCCCTCCCCGTGAGAGGGTAAATTCGGGATTTATTGCATTTTTTAAAATTAATATGTAAAGAAAGTAACAAATAGAAAAAATGCCATTTAGCTAGTACCACTTTTGCTTGTTATCTGCAAAAATTGTAAACAAACACTAATAATAAAATTGTCTATATTTCCAATTAGTGCCCATATCAAAACAACTACACATGTGTGTTTAATTAATCAGCTGTAAATTTTGCACTTTTTCATAACATGGTTAAACTTGCTCAAATTTATCTTTTTCTTTGAGTCTGTGTTTGCTGGTTTTACATGTCAGTAATAGAGCACTAATCTGCTAGAGTTTAGAATTGAACCTCAATTATAAATAACTTATATGTACTTCAATTATCAAATTAAGTGTTCTAAACAAAAAAGTAACCTGTCTTAAATTGTTGAAAAAATAATCTTTAACTGAAGGTAAAAAAAGACTGGTGTTTACATCTGTCTTGCTATAAATATCAAGTAAATTTATATTGGAAATATACAGTCTGTTTTTTTGTTTTTTTAAAAAACTATTTAATGTTTAGTGTGTAGGACTATAAAGCTTTTTCTAGTCGTGGTTTAACATAAAAATTTATGCAACACTTAAATGTATGCTCGGATTTTTCTTTTGTACTAAGGCTTGCTACAGGTAAAGAATGTATAATTAAGTACCATCAATTTTATTATTTATCTATTCATCTTTGAAAAAGTTTGAAATTATATTGTTACATGCTGAAGAAGAATACTAAATTGAATTTTAGGTGATATATGTAATCAAGGATGCCTTTAATTGACTAGTAATCCTTGCATTTTAATAGAGGCTCAATTATGTGATTATTATAGTTATTTAATTTTTACCTAGCTTTGGTCAAGATTTGACAGTAATGAGCTCTTATTCTGACAATAGAAAGTTTTTGCAAAGCACTTGCCATATGTTAACTGTAATATTAACTTAATTTTGATATCCTTAAGGGACACGGTGATATGTAGAGAAATTGTAAATGTGCTATGAAGCTCAAATAGAGTGAACGTTAGAATTATGGGTAACCACAATCCAATACAAAATCTTTCTTAATCTTATGGATTATTAAAATTCTTACTTTGTCATAGTTGTTGATGACATACCAAAAATGCACTTCAGGGCTAGTTCCATATGTGCTTGTTCATGCCACTTTATATCACCAAGATGGCAGGCAGTGACCCTACTTATATTTAATATGGTTGGGCTTGCACATCATAATTATTTCAACACAAATACTGATATAGAAATCTTCAATGTACTGATGTCGTTTCCAAAAATGTGTAGTCATGTTTGAAGCTGTTGTATATCTTCTATATTAAAATAGCAAATACTACCCAGTTTTGTTGATCTATTGGATTGCCTCGTCTAAGGAATCTTTAAGTTTAAAAAAGTTTATACAGCAATTTTAAGTCTTTCTATCATTTTGTGAAATAAGGAATGCACACAGTTTCTCAATTTTATGTCTTAGTGTCAATTGTATAGATGTCGGGTTAAGGAGCATTTTAGATTATTCATTGTTTCCAAAAATATACTTGGTTCTTCCTTTTCTACTTAATTTCAGCCCTTATGAGGCACCAGCAATATCATGCAAATGCAGAGCTGTATGGTAAATATATTGAAGATAAATTATTCTCTTCCTTGGCAATGTAAAAAGGATATTTTTAATTAATTTTAAAATTTACCTTTATAATTTTTACTTGCAATACAGAATCCTACTATTATTACATGAAATAATATTCTGTATCTTATTGCATACTACAATACAGAAAACAATTGGATGGATGCTTTATTTGGCAATGGTAGCAGTCAGTCGCAATTTTTTAAATTAATAAAATAAAAGTTATTGTCTGTGAAGTTGTAAAATAGTTTAGGATCCAGAAAGCCTCATTATTTTTGATTATTGATTATTAGATTGATGAAGTTAAATGATAACTTAAAATACTTATTTAACTTGCCTGATGATTTTTTAATCCTTTTAAAATGTCTAATTGAATTGTTTATTACTGCATTTCCCAAATGACATTCCCTGAAACCTTAGGGTTCCCTGAAAAAGTTAAAGGGGCTCTGCGAGTTAGTACATTTTATAGCCAAGAATAAGTTTTGAAACCTCTGATTATGTTTAGATTCGTATTATAATTCAATAATAGGTAGTAATGCAATTATAATTCACAATTTGTTTAATCTTTCAAAAACCTTAATGAAATTATTTCAAGTAAAATATATGTGAATATTGGCATTTTTTTTAAAGAAAATATAATGTTTCTAATAACAATCTAATACATTGAATAAATGGTGAAAATACAAGCATGCGTAAAATATTCCCATATTTCATATAACGCTTATTAAATTGAAATAAAATAATTAAATTGTTTAATAAAGAAATATGTTTCCTTAATAATTATTTTTTAATATTTATCACAGTTTTTTTTAAAGTTTTCATCTCAAAGTGAACCATAATTAGGCTTATAAATGCATACCAAAGTTGAGTCCATACCTTGACTAGATGCAGTAGAAGGATTGCAATTTAACTACTGAACATAGAAACTAATTTAAAATTATTAATGATAAAGCGATGAAATATCTTTTATAGGTTATAACATTAACTATTATTACCTTAATAAACTTTATTTAAAAAGTCAGTTGTGATTCTTTAGAATTTCGTAGCCGAAAAAAATTGGGAACAGCTGGTTTATTAAACAGAAAAGAAAATTTACTCTTTTTTTTTCTTATCTAAATTTTTTGTTCGCAAATTTTGCAGAAAAATCTGAAAAAGGAAGAAAATAAAATTGGCAATAGAGAAATCAAACTTTTGTCATCCAGTGATCAAACTGTGATTTCTTTGGATTATTTGGATCCTTTGTATTATTGATTTCTTTGGATATCTGAGTGGANAATTTTTTGTTCGCAAATTTTGCAGAAAAATCTGAAAAAGGAAGAAAATAAAATTGGCAATAGAGAAATCAAACTTTTGTCATCCAGTGATCAATCTGTGATTTATTTGGATTATTGATTTCTTTGGATATCTGAGTGGAAAAAAAGTGTACTTAAAGTCATGAGAAAAAAAAAAGTTATGCCACTTTATAAGTATCATTTTTATTTTTTTAACTAATACAAAAATTATTTAAACTTTCTAGCTGAACTAAAAAGATGAATAAAATAAAATTTTTCTGAAGATAATTTATTATTCTAGACAGTTTATTTCTAAATGTTGTTTAAACAACATGAACTTTTAATATGAAATAGGAAGTACTATTAAATTATTTAGAATTTGATTAATCTACTACCTATTTCAGTATCCTTAAAAATTTTGAATGAAGGAGATAATAGAAAACTGCATTATATACCAAATCATAATTTTCATTGTCTTGTATGTGACTCCTAAAAAAGAAGGAAAAAAAATAATCGTTTATAAGAAGTCTGAGTAAAAGAAAAAAAAATGCTATTATAAAACTTGCTCTTTAGAATTATAGTTTTAATGATATATTGATATGAAAAGTATAGCTACCCATTCTGGAAAAAAATTCTTGGAAACGTAACTCACTGCACATACCCAATGAATAACTTGCAATCAAATAAAAGAGAAATAATTAAATCAGGGAATGGTATAGTTTTCCATCATCTTGAATTTTTAATGAGATAACTAGGATTAGAGTTTAAATTTCAAGTTCTATATGTATATAACATTGGAGCGCTTCTGTCAAGCTCATTCCTATTAAAAGAAGGAAGAAAAAAAGGTTCAATGGCAGCAAAAAAGAAAAAAAAAAGTTTTTATTTCAAGAGGTAGTAATTTTAATTCATAGTCATTTTACAAAACACACACGAAGAATAAAAGGATTGAGCAATTATGCTTCTTAATTAAATATGGAAGGAGTAATTAAGGTTTTTAATAAAAGTAATTAAATATTTTTTTTAGGTGAAAATGAAGATTTTTTTTTCGCGGAAAAATCCATTGTTAAATGTTATCATAAAAAAATATTTTTCCCGTCACTTTTTATTATTTTTTTTTTATTTTAATTGTAAAATTGATTGGCTTTCTTGTTAAAGGTTTCTGTTTAGAAAAAAATAATTTTTTTTTCATCAATATTATTATTATACAATTTTCTCAATTATAATTATTGACGAAGACTAAACATTTTTTTGGTGATGGGGTATTTAAACTATAATTTATTTAAGAGTGGTTCCTACATTTGTATTTTACTTTGTTCTAAAATATCTATTTGAATTTTTAAATTTAATTTATAACTTAATTTTTTTAAGGGTAAAAAAAATTTGAGCTAGGTTATCCTCTCTGACCTCAGTTGTCTGGTCTAAGGTTCTGTTTTAATGTGTAAATATTTCAGTATACCAGCCTTAAATTTAATTAGGTGCAAT